AATGGGAATCTAAAGACAGTTTACTATAAAGAATCACCAATCATGTCCACTTACCTAGTGGCAGTTGTAGTTGGGCTGTTCGATTATGTTGAGGACCATACTCCTGACGGTATGTTTCCACATTTCCATTTTATCTCGTGATTAGGTTATCTTTGTTGAGATTGATATTTGCCTTCATGATCTGTGTTTTTACAGGAGTCGTTGTCCGGGTATACTGTCAGGTTGGCAAGGTTAGTCAAGGGAAGTTTGCGCTGGATGTAGCTGTCAAAACACTTGACCTTTATAAAGAGTAAGCTAGCTGTGAAATTATTTCATTTGCTTAAATTAGCGTATCTTTAAGGTCTCTTGCAAATGTGAGTTAATGACAAAGAACATGTCTTAATTAAAAACTCTCAGGTACTTTGCAGTGCCATATTCTCTTCCTAAGTTGGACATGATTGCCATTCCTGATTTTGATGGGGCCATGGAGAATTATGGTCTTGTTACATACCAAGAGACAGCTTTGCTTTATGATGATAAGCACTCAGCGGCCGCTAACAAACAGACGGTAATATCAGTTTTCTTGAAAATATGAAATTTCTTGGATTCAGTTTATAGATTGTGTGTCTACTTTCTGGCCTATTAGAACATGGTATTTATGTAACTGACTATACTGCTCATCTTCTATATAGGTTGCTGTTGTTGTAGCCCATGAGCTGGCACACCAGTGGTTCGGAAATCTTGTGACAATGGAATGGTGGACTTATTTATGGTTGAATGAGGGATTTGCCACATGGGTACTGTGTAGCATTCAAGTTTTTTACCTTGTGTTTTTAAGCATTAGGTACCCATACACCTTCACTGACATATGGTTCCCTTTTTTTCACATATCAGGTGGCCTATTTAGTTGCTGATAGCTTGTTTCCAGATTGGCAGATTTGGACTCAATTTCTCGATGAAAGTACTGCTGGGCTTCGACTGGATGCTCTTGCAGAATCTCACCCCATAGAGGTAAATGGTTTATTTTTGAAAATTTTAAGATTAGGAATATGCGGAATGTTAATTTTTTTTTTTCTCTAATAAATGCTATTTTTTCCGGTCTGCTATCTCGTTTCAGGTGGACATCAATCATGCCGGTGAAATCGATGAAATTTTTGACGCAATAAGTTATAGGAAGGGTGCATATGTCATCCGGATGCTTCAAAGTTATCTTGGGCCTGAATGTTTCCAGGTGTCCCATTTTTTATCTTTATAGTTCAATTCAGGAATCAATTTGATTTACATTTATATTAATCTGTCGACAGTTAACTTCAGTACATCTGTTATGGTCCAAGATCTGTCAGCAAATGTTAAAGTTCTACCATTCAAAGTTTA